CCCCCTCTTGCTGAGGTGGTTCCCATCTTCCCATTTTTACTGCGAACAATGCAATTTAAAGAATTTGTGGTTATTTGTACTGTGGGTTTTTTTGCATCTTGTATTGGAGCAGGAAAACTCTGCCCTTGAAGTTGGAAATGAGGCATACTTGACCTACTCCAATACAGACTGCACTTTGTCCGTAATTCCACCCAATTTCATTTCATTTCTAGGGTGCCGCATGGATATATTTCAATATAAATAAACAGGCTGTGTAGTGAAGTAGAGAGAAAGCAAGAACAACTGATAGCATATATACTTTTCACTAAAGAGAAAATCTGTAGCTTCATTTTAAAGCTTCTTGCTGTTCCTGTGGTTCCTATCATGCTCACTGGAGTATTATGCACATAGGGGTTTATTCTGACAAATGTGTTAATTAAATACCTAGAATCCTCCCATGTGTCACTCTGTACCCCATCATATTCACAGAATGGATATCAGCCCAATCCAGGGCTCTTAGTTGCCACAACATCTCTCATTGACTAATGCTGTCTTTGTTTTTTAATATGCCTCTCACTCTTTTCATCCCAAACAATGGAGAGAAGGAAATAAAAATGAGTTTTCTTGCTTTGAAAGCTTTCTATGTAGACACAGATGATAATACAGAACTGTTTAAACTTCTAAAGTTACTTGTTTGTAAGATTAAAATGGAGTTTTTTTAAAGCATTTTGCATAACAGATTATATTTTTCCTTCTGCAACCATTGTAAGTCCTGAGCCTTGACAAGATTTAAAAATGCCAGAAGTTAAAGTTTCAGATTTCATGTCCTATCTCAGTAAAAGGGTTTGTAAGAAAAGGACTTGTCATAGGAAGAACAGTGCTTCAACCTTGATGTAGCATGTGTAGTGTCAAGTAGAGACTTGTCCCACTTCCTCACATAACTTATTCCTGTTCCAGGAGGAAGTGAGGAAGGATATAATCCTTAAATAAAACATTCCAGTAAGTTATTTGGAAGTGGAAGTGGGGAAAAAAAAAAAAAGTTAAAAGAAAGCTCCAGAGCAACAGTGATAATAGAGAGGCATCTTTCCCTGCTGAAATAAGTAACCTAAGTTTATTCTCATATACGTTTGTCTGTTATCTTTAGATAAGCAACCAACTACAGACATATCTTATTATCTTGTTATAATCCCTAATAGTCTTGCCTGCAGCTCATGGAGGCCAATGTTTCACTCTTGTTTGGGTGTTTCAGGCACTGGCACACTTGTGGCTGCCGAAGAGGAATGCTGCCATTGGACTTACTGATACGGGAAAGTCCCCCAAGAGCTTTGCAGCTGAGGGGGATCTCTCACCCTGGCAGGCTTTATCAGTCAGCTCTCTACCAATTACAGCTTATCTGTAGCATAGTCTGTTAGGTGTGACTGCACAAACTGTAGTTGCACCTTCGGATTTAAGAGCAGCTAGATATATTGCAAAATGGGAACTTCTGGATGGAGTTCAGGACTCTGAACAGAAACCTTTCCTTTAGTTTTAGATCTGATAATGCATTCCCTAAGTAAATAAATAGTGGCACACACCCAAAACATTATCAGTAACTGTTAGTGCTTTGTTTGATTTTTCTTTCTTTTTTTTTTTCTCTTCAGATAAAGAAAGAAACCATTGATCTGCTGGAGATGAGGATTATAAAGCTGTGCAGAGAAGGATCTGAAAAGTTGGGACTCTTTTAATGGTTTCGACAACAAAAAAGTAGTCTGCAGTTGTGTTTTACTATTATCTTGTCTGTAACTGGCAAGTGATCAACGGGTGATTGAATTAAGAATGACTTTTGAGAGGCCTGTGCATGTTGCAACTTTTTATGAGTTTCCTTTAATAATAAAGCATATTTTGTCTGCAGTTTTTGTATGGAGGATTTTTATTGCACAAGCAATGTGATAATGCAATTAGATGTGCACTGCGTTCACTTGTTAGATTTACTATTTTATGTCACTTAGAAGACATTTAAGATGAATGAACATGGGCTTGAAAGTCTTCCCACAGATCGATTCTCTTATATCTCCTTCTGCTGTCCCAAAGTTAACATTTGCTTCTCTCATGAGAGTGGTAAGCCAAGCCCTGCTAGCTCTTGCCTTAGATGGTCTTTAACAGTGTTGTGTAAATTTCTGTCCTACACTTGACAAATGATTTTTTCTGATATTATGTGATAAATTTAAATTAAAATTTCTGTATATTAAATTGAGACTTTATTTTGTTTAAGATGCTAAGGCATATTCTGCCGTTTGTCCATTTAAACTAAAAAAATATGATCTCTGGGTGATTCTGTGGAGTTTGTGATTAGTGAGGAGTGAAAACTTTTTTCACAGAAGGTCAGGATGAGTTTAGGTAGGCAACTTATCAGTGTCTTGGAGGCTGTTGATCCAAATCAGTGTTTTTAGAGCTAATTGCCCTCATCAGCTTTTTTGCAAACCTAAACTGCATCAATAGCAGTGAATGCAGTAGGTTAAGAAAATTAGATTTGCTCCCCTAAAGCAATGTAGGTTGGCACTAGACCATTTGGAAGAGAGCCTCTGGGCCACAGCAGTCCCCTGCAGCAGCATCCAGTACAACTGCAGCAAAAGCCTCTTTCATTGTTTAGCTGGCCAGTTCTGAAAGTGCAGGAGGAAGAAATCTTGAATCCAAGATTGCACAGGAATTCCAGTATCTCTGCATTTGAATAAGACACAACAATACTCCTATTGTGGGGCAGAAAAAAAACATGTAGTTAAGTCTTTACAGGAGGCATGAGCTGGATGCTGCGACTAAAGTACACAGTCAAGTGTCAATCATCCTGATCCAGGCACAAATACGGAAAGTGAGGAAGAGAGAGATCTGGTTAATGAGTAATTCCTGTCATAACGTAGGTTTGAACAAACAGTGCAAGTTCCCAGCAGAAAGGACAGAGTCTCAGCTTAAGTGTATTATCGTCCTCCATCTTAAGTGTATTATTCCTTCCTCTCACCAAGAGGAATATGAAAGCCGAGACAGGCCAGGAAGCCCAGACTCGTCCTTCCAGGTGTCCGGACAACAGTGCCTTCAAGCAGCAGAAGCTGCCCGCCTGGAAGCCGCAGCTCTCCCTTGCCAGCGTTCTCTCCATCTTCTTTGTCATCGGAGCGGCCTGCCTCGCTGTGGGAATCTGTCTCATCGTGTCCGCAAACAGCGTCAGGGAGATCGAGGTTTGTTCTTATATCCTGGTAAGGAAAAGCTGGGCTGTGTTGGGGGAAAAAAGTTTGAATTTGTGCTCCGGATAAAGGGGATAGCTAGAAGGGAATAGCTTCATGCGTTGGACACATGTCTAAGAGCCAATATCCCTTGAAAATCCCCCGAGATAAGTGGTCACCGATCAAAAGTGGTTAACACTAGGCAACATCTGAACACTGGTATTTTCTGGCATTTCATTATTTGCTGATATTTAAAGAGAAATAAAATCGTCCCTTTGCTAGTGTTTAGCACTAAAAGAACAAAATACTTGGCCCCAGCAGAGAGTGATAATGTTTAAATGCTGACTTCTGGCAGGTGCGTTGCTTTTGCATTCTTTGTTGGTGCTCACGGACTTCTGCTTGGACATCCAGGTGGTTGTTCAAGAGGGACAGATCACAGTTACGAGGGACGTTTAATGTGCTTGTTGAGCATTGCAAGAGTGAATGTAATAGTTTTCCAGCAGCCATCAAAAGGCACTAAAGAAGTTTTAAACAAGGGGTTAAATTGAGCAAGTGTGCCAGTCTGAGTCATGAGTCCAAGCTGTAATTCTTTATTTCTCTGTTGTGGGCTGGTTTATGTGTTTGTTTTAGCAATACTTGTTGGCTGTCTGGAACCTTCAGGAGAGACCTGCTCTAAGAGTTCTTGAAGCAAAACCCCAATCTTTTCCTATGTTCATGTCCTTTAGTATAATATTCTGTCCTTATTCACTTCTCTGACAGATTAATTATTCAGATACATGCTCAGATTGTTCAACACTTCGTGAAAATTCCTCTAATTGGAATAAAGAATGCTACTGTTCTGCTGACTTCATACTAAAGGAAGATATGCTGGTGAGTGGATGTGAGAATCCAGCTCGAATTGCTTAGGTTATATCACTGTATGGTAAAATACATAACTTCTGTACTGGGGAGCTCCTGGCTGTGTTTTTCTTTGTACTTTTTTATGAACACAAAATACTCAGTTTTACACTTTTGCCTTTCCTGTTGGTTTTGGCCCATGTTAAAAAGAGGAATTCTGCGAGGTTCCAAGGATATCTCCATGACTAAGGGGTGGAAGAAGTGCTGTTGATTTCAGGAGGCGATTCCTCTCTCGGAATCAGTAGCAAGCCCTTGCGCTTGGCCTGGTGTTAGTTGTTACCACAGTGCTAAGCTCTCAAATGAAAAATAAAACTGAAGCTCCTAGCACTTGTCATAAGTAAGCAAGCCCCTGTAGCGCTTTTGATGGGGGTTGTGATGTTAATCTCTAAGGTCCCTGATACTTTTCAGGGCTAGAAATGTCATTCTGCAGTTTCTCTTGGAAAAAGTATCCTTCATTTCCTGTCCTAAACTGCTGGGTAATGTTGCTGATGCTTTTACAACACCTCATGTTCTGCCAAAGAGATCTTATGCTTAGTGCTGCATAAATAGTCCCTTAAAATTACAGTGTGATTTGAAATTACAAAGTCACTTTAGGGCTCCTCAGTATTAAAGAGGCTGTTAAAATATTTTGTGAGTATTCCTTCAGCTACAGTAACGCCTGATAGACGAGAAAATTATTTAACCGAATTATGATTTTAGAATAGTTTAATAATCTTCTTTTCACCTTACATTTGCCAGCCAAATTTCTGCTTTAAATTATAGGGCTTAACTTTGCAAAGGGTTCAAACAGCTTGGGGTAGCCCTAGTTCACAAAAAAAAAAATCAGAAGGAATTAGGAGCTGACGTCTGCTTTTTGAAGTTGTTTGGGCACTGTGCTTTTATGGAAAGCAGGTGCCTCTGTGAAATTATTCATAATCATTGAAGACCAGTCATTACCATCTTGAGTAAAATAATAATGATGCATTTTAACTGTATTTCATTCGGGGATTGAAGTATGTTTAAATTTGTGCCAAAGCGCAAAGACTTTTAGTGGGGTAAGAACAGATTTTTAGCCAGAGTGCCTGGAATGCAGTTATCAGCACTCCCTTCCTCTTTCTTTTTTTTAGTAAGAGGATTTCTCCTCTCTGCTTAAACTTACCTAATTAAAAAGATTTGTGTTTGAATTCTAGGGTGATGTTTTTATGTACTATGGGCTGCAAAACTTTTATCAGAACCACCGTCGATACGTGATATCGAGAAGTGATGTGCAATTGTTGGGCCGAGATGTAAATGTAAGTTTTCTTCTTTATGTTATGAGATCATCCGTATTTTCGTCAGATGGAGAGTTAAGTAAGCTTAACTGTAAGTGTGTCAAGATGACTCCAGGGAGTAATAAGAAAATACAGATTTTCAGTGTTTGTCTCTGCTATTCTGGTTGCTAGGACCCATTTTTAATAAGTTAATAAGAGAGGAATAAATAAAGTAATAAATAAAAGATGTCAGTGCAATGTTGCAGGCCTCTAACCTGTGCTTTTTAAGTATGGTGATTTATAAAAAAATACTCACTTTCAAGTATCATTACAGAAAACCTTCCTTCTAGTGTTCTTAGTCTTCTTAGATAGAAATGTTATTCTTTTGAGATGTAGTGTTATTTGGGTTTAATTAAGCATTAAATTATTTTAAATTGTTAATTTTGCCTTCTGGCTTTGGAAGTGGATAAGGAAAAAGTATAAGGTGAAATAGGTGATGCAAAGATGTGCAGTTAGAGGGTTGAAGAGGAGGCAGATGTAGCATGAGAGCATGGAGAATTTGGAGACTGCAATCACTGCATTAACTCTGGATTTTAGTTAGAAATCTATAGTGTGTTTTCATTAGCTAAAATGTAGCTGTTGTTAAAATGTGATCCATGCAGTGTCGTGTCAGTGGACAGGGTTGTCCCATTGCAATCTGTTGCTTTTATAAAATGCTTCTTGTAGATCTTAAGACACGTTCCTCACACAGCTGCTTCTCCAGGTGTCCAGCTGTGCCAATTTGGGTTCAAGTGCCAATGGCTTTTGGCTTTGGTGTCAATCACTTACGCAGCTTATCAGAATTACTTAGAAATGTTGTTTGTGTCCATAAATATGAAAATTTATAGCTTCTCAAGAGTTGGAGTAGCAGAGAGGTGGCAAATTTGAGATGAGCTTTTTGTTTTTCTTCTGTGTGCTCATATGTGAAGCTCGCTTAGGCTACCTGCTATGTCCTGTGGAAGATATTCCTCAACTACAGCCTTATGCATTTGGATGCATCTCTAGCATGACCAAAAGGTCCTGGAGACTTTTAATTATTTGGTGGCTTTTCAGAAGAGGAAGTGAGAGGAAGACATTAACACCAGCCAACCAAGCCCAAACCCTGCAGACTTTTAATTATTTGGTGGCTTTTCAGCCAACCAAGCCCAAACCCTGCGGGTTCTGTGCCTAATTGCTGTGTGACCTTGCATGCAGGTTGAGAACAGCTACTGCACGCCCTTCACGACGTACGAGAACGGGACCCCGATGGCTCCATGCGGCGCTATTGCCAACAGCATATTCAATGGTGATTACCTTTCACGTCTGGCTCATGGATTTCTGCTTGAAACCGCCCTTGCCCCAAGCTGGGGGATCCTGCTAATGCAGGATTTCACCTAGGATGTTGTCTGGTTGTGCTCCTAAAGTAGAGTATGGGGCCCTGCTCCTTATTGCTCAGCAGCTTGTCTCTCATGTTGCAATTGGGGAAGATTTCTTTTTCATTTACTAAGAAATTCCTCATGTGAATCTACTACAAGACTGAGGATTTGAGTGTCCTGGTGAAATGGGGCTGATGATGTACAGAAAATACTTAGCATACTTCACCGCTAAAAGACGTGTTCTTCATGCCTTCCATTCAGTCATGGAAGAACCTAGCATCTGCCTTCCCACAGTGGAAAGAGGTGACATGTACCTGAAATTGTTTTGAACCTCTTTGTTTTTGTTTTTTGAGTGCTGGAAGTCCATATGTAATCTTACTTGAATTGATTTGATTCTGGGTTTGAGCCTGTTTATAGAATTCTCGTGGGCATAATCTGCTGATGAACACCCATAGCTTGAAACCTAGAAAAGGGCTTTTGGCCATGAGTGCAGGAAGAATTCAGAATAGATTTCTTTGGGAGCAAAGGGGCCAAAAAATAAATTTGGGGGATTTTTTTCTTCTCCACCCTGTCATTTTTCTTCCTCTTCTTCTCACATGGGCCATATGGCAGTTTGGGGCAATGCAGCAGCCATTTTTCAAGTAGCTTTTCTAGTCAACCAGAGCTGTTGTGAGGGACAGTAGCTTATAGATCCACTTGATAATCATTTACCCAGAACAGTATGTCTGTCTGTACATTTTCAGAAGCATTAGGTATTGCTCATGCAGTTGAGTTGCATTCCCAGTGTTTCCTAAAATGCAGCTCGTCTCCATCCATATCCTTTAACGTCCCTGCCAGTCATCCCGCTGGCTGCCTAGATAATTACATAGGTGCTAACGAGACCTAAGATAGGAAAAACAAACACTTTTGTACAGTGAAACAGGATGACAGGGGTCAGCACAATTTTAGCTAAGCGGTTTTTGATTAAAAAGAATATTTGTGACCAAACTGGTAGACACGGCCTCATTAGTATAAAACTAAAGCAAAAACTAAGGTCTTGAATTCCCTTAATTGCACTTTCACCTTTTCCCTATGCCTCAAAACAGGTGTTATATAGTAAAACAGCTAGTTCAGGACAACTGTCAAACAAAATCTAGGGAAAGGTAAGTATCAGAGTAATTCCTATAACTCGCATTCTCCCTCCAGCTCCAAAAGGAAATTGCAAAGACATTAGTCACAGAGGAGTTGAGGAGCAGAAGATATTTGCACGTATTTCTACATAAGGATGCAGTAGAATTTGTTGGTAGGAATATGTTCAGTCTTTAAAAATGTAAAAGCTCCAAGGCTCAGGAAGTTTGTATCTGCTTTGTGTGGAGTATACAAGTTTTCTGTTCGTTTGAAAGGTGCTTCAGTGTGTCATTTTTCATTAGTCGTGTTGGTCATTAGACTGATTATAAACATCTGTCTTTTACTCATACTTGTTGCCTCTCATATTCCCTGCAGACACTATCGATCTTTTTTATAATGTTAACTCATCTGTTATTCAAGTCCCACTGCTGAAGACTGGAAACAGTTGGTGGACAGATAAAAATGTGAAATTTCGCAATCCAGTAGCGCAAAATCTTTCTTCTGCATTTGCAGGTAAGCATGGTTCTGCTAGCATCCCTTATTTTTTTGTGGCTTCTCCTCCCCAACTCCAGTGTATGGAGGTCTCCACGCTGAGGTGGAAAACACTCCTGGGAAAAATACCTGCTAGAAGAAACTGTGTTTGCCTGACAGTAGAAACCAGATTTAGCAAAATCCATCTTTTTCCATTGAGCACAGAAACTGAGAGAGTGGTTTCAGAAGGCTCAAGTTAGCCTTTGTCGTTCCTCTTCTGTATTACTTCCTCTAACTGTATAATCTATCCAGAAAAGGCAAGGATGTAATCTCTCTCTAGTTTTTCTACTGAAATCATCTATGAAGGAGAATTGCAGCTCACTTCCCATCTTTTGCCTTTGCAGGTTCCCAGGCAGTTGTGAGACAAGCAAGACTGCCATCTTCAGAAGTTGTTTCAAATAGTCATCACTAGGGCTGTTTTTGTGTTGGGATTAATCTGTATTGAAGTGAAGTTAAAAATTTCTGTTGTGGAAATTTTTATTTCTATTCTAGGTACCATATGAAAGATACTTCTTCCTGCCTCAAAGAATTAATTATCTAAGTAGTTCATATAGCATATTTTTATCATAGAATGTGCTTATTGACTGTAGAAGGTAATATGCAGAATTTATTTAACAATCTTAGGGTGCATTTCTAGTTGTACAGGAGTGAACTAATGCATAGGAACTGAGGCTAAACTGTATGCTGAATTGTTTTTATTTGTGTCAGAGATGAATGGAGATTTTTACATATGAAATGTTCTCTCGCATGTGTCATTTTCAAATACTGGACAGCATCTTGTGTCACTTCCATATTTTGTGTTGGGTATCAGTAGGTGCCGAAGAAGTTAGCGGTCAGTCTTCCTTTTTGCCGACAGTGAGAACCTGATACTGACAGCAAGTCTTTCCTGCTTTCTCTCTTCCTTACCAGGAACAGCCAGACCTCCCTACTGGCAGAAACCAGTATATATGTTAGATGAGGAAGATGAAAGGAACAACGGGTACATCAATGATGAGCTCATTATCTGGATGCGAGTGTCAGCCTTCTCTACGTTCAGAAATCTTTATCGCCGTGTCAGCCGCACAGGGCAGTTTGCTGATGGCCTCCCAGCAGGGAATTACACTTTCTATATTTCCTATAGTATCCTTTCATATTGTCCAAGATACTCCTTGAGTATTAAATAGTGGCACATTAGGTAGAAGTGGGTTCGTGTGATAAAACAGGAAAAATCCCAAACCAAGCAGAACATCCCAAGACAAATCACCATGAAAAAAAAAGCTTGTTTTGAGGATGACAAGACAGGACAAGTGGATTTCTGTTAGCCTGTGCAGATGTTAAGATGTATTACCCAAACGGCAGCACATGGTTTTGGATTTGACTTCTGACATAGTTATCTTTGACCAGAAACAGAACGTGGCAGTAGCGGGTTTTACACAAAAGGTAGGAAATTGAAGAGATGGCTGAAGATGTTTTTACAGTCCAAATAATTAATATGAGCATAAGCACAAGGGTGTCTACAACCTTCTGTGAAGCAAGAGGTGCAGAGGAACATCTGCTGCTGAGCTATCTGGGATGTCTCCAGCAGAGTTGAGCTGTGCAGCCACTGGGATCTTTGTCCTGGTAACCCTGCGCTCTCCTGCCAAACAGCATAAGCATTGCTGTCTAATAACACAATTGTTTGGTCAACAAAAATTATGGCGAGATGACTCTAGATTTGTCCTTCTTCTCAGCCAATACAGCCATGGCATTAATATGCTATATTATAGCATATATAGCATAGCTATATTCTGAAAGTTTCCACAATGGGAGATAATAAGGAAAAAAAAAAATCTGGAGGAGCCGGGCATGAGAGGGAGAGATGAGCATTTTTATAAAGTTCTCTGAAGGCTCATTTTCCAATGAGTTTTACTTAAAAATATTATGAAACACGTCAAATTAGTGCAGTAGCAGCTGCATATTATATGAATCTGAAAGAAAGTATTTCCAGCATCACAGTGAGGCTGTATGTGAAGTATCTGCATTTCTTTCCACCAGACAGCTGCTAGTTTTAGCAAGGGGAGCACCAGATTCTGCGTTTTTGGGAGGGGCTGATAATAGTAGAGTGCTTACAGATCAGTTAAAGGAATTTTACAGCAGATGCAGATCTCTTGCTCCTTTATGCCTTGGAAAAAACCTTTGAGCACCTTTCCCTGCTGAAAATGACGTGAACTTTATTAGTGAAGTCTTAACATCCTTCTATCAGATTTCCCCGTTAGCAAATTTAAGGGGAAGAAGTATGTGATCCTTTCAACTGTGGTGTGGAGTGGAGGAAGTAACCCATTCCTGGGAATTGCCTACACGGTTTGCGGCACGGCAGCAACCCTGACGGGTTTTGTTATAACTGCCATCCACTTAAAGCTCAGAAAAGAGAAAACTTACTTTCAGAAATGAGATGATTCCCTGGCTTGCTGAGCAAGAGCAAAGATCTGCAGTGAAGAAGGAGCAGGCACCACACACCTTCCCTTCCTACCCGCCCTGCTCTGGATTTGCTTCGCTCTTGGATGTGAGGAACATAAGTGACTTGAGGGGCAGTGCTCTTCTGCCATGCCAAGCCAACAGTTGTATGGGTCTATGCTCTTAATAACATATGAGTGCTCCTAAATGTATGTTTCCTAGAAGACTTGTAGTGAGATGAGTTTCCAGCAACAGGTAGCTTAGTGATCGCGAATCGCCAGGTCAAAGAAATTGTGTGGTACTGAAGTCTGGCCAGAAGTCAGGGTCCTTATTCATTTCTTAATTAGTCTTTAAAAAAAGGCAATGTTTCTGTTCACTTGAAGGGGAGTTTTGGCCTGATAAAAAGTGAGGCATGGACCCAAAAAAAAAAAAAAAAAAAAAAAGCTTGAACAGGTAGAATTTACTGCTGACGACTGTTTATATGCATTGCCTGGATGGCTTGGCTCGGGTTTTATATAAAGATCGACTGTCCTAACAAAGCAACTCTTTTATTTGCATGTTGGCAGGGCATATTCATCATGATTTGATATTTGGTTGGGGATGGAGCATGGGGCATTCTCAAGGCATTTGGAGTGTATTTAAACCCTCTGTGTTGATTTTTATCTAGGTCCCAAGACTTAATTGCAGAGTTGGAGGGCGTCAGAACACTGATTTACACTTCAATAACTACATTTTACTAGAAAGCTTACATTTTAGATCACTGACTGTTTCAATGCCATACATTTTAGTAGAAATATCTAGCTAATATAACTATAAGGTCTCAATCCCTCCTCTTTCTATCGTCTCACCTATCCATGTAGAAGTTCACATGAACTCTTAGGTGACATAAAGCATCTGTTCTTCTTTCAAGCCCCACTCATTGTCATTAACTCGTTGTCAATAGAAAGCATAAAACATCAGAAAATCCATTAAATTCATTTTTTTAAAATTAACCACTGCAGCTGATGGATAGACTGTTACCACTTTCATGTTTATTATATTCTTAAATCACAAATTCTAAACATTTAGAACATATTTCCAATCGCTCATGAAATACAGGAATAGTGGAGTCTCCTTCTCTGGAGATCTTCCAAACCCACTTGGACGCAGTCCTGTGCCACGTGCTCTAGGTGACCCTGCGTGTGCAGGGGGGTTGGACTAGATGACCTCTAGAGGTCCCTTCCAACCTTAAGCATTCTGTGATTCTATGATAGTGCTGAAGGATCCAGGTCAAGTATACCATGGTACACATGATTTTTTTAAATAATTTTTCTATTGCAAATGTACAAATGAAATAAAACAGTTTGATTTCTTTGGTTAGTATTTTGCAGCCCTAAAACAACTCAAAATACTAAAACAAGAGAGAAGTCACTGATATTAAGTTGCCTAATACTGTCTTAAAATAAGCATCAGCTCCTTAGAGCAAGAGAAAGGGATGAAGCCTAGGGAGACTGAGTGACTCCGTCAGGACCTTCCAAGCCTGCTTTTAGGAGTTTCTCAGGTGCTTAGGAGTGTATGGCCTTTAGCAGATGGCCTGGGGTGCATTTGCTCGCAGCAATATAGGATGCTATATTTCCTTTAACGTCTGCTTCATAATTGTGCCACGAGTAGCAGAAGGGCTGCCCCTGGGGTCACAGCCACCATGGTTGTTAGTGTAACCATTGACTTAGTCAATGGTTATCCTGGTCTACTGGGCTAAGGCATGTGTCACATTCTGCTTTTCCTGGTTGGCTCATCTCCGTGAGCAAGCTGGAGACTCGGGCTTCTAGTATTTCAAACCACTGCATCTACATTTGTCAAGGGCTGTGTGAGAATCCTGCCCCTCACTGGATTTGACAGGGCAGGGCAGGAAGCAGGACATTTAGCGATGCTTAAGCTCGTTAGTCTAAATCCCTCCGGACAGTGAGACATGTTCCTAAACCTTTTAAGTGCTTTTGAAAATTAAATCCCATGCAGACCTCTGGAGAGCCCAGCATCACAGTTGCTGCCAAGCAAATTTGTGGCTCCAAAAGAACAGGATGACCTTTTCTTTTTTAATCCTCTGAGAAGCCGACTTTCAGGAACTGATATATCATCTGGGTGTTTAAGTCTCAGTATGTTTGTCATTGATTTAATTTCTTCATGAAGTATCTGGTAAAATTGTTAGGTAAAAGGAGACTAACTAATGAGGTACATATTTCAGTGAGTCAGTGTCTACCAGAAGAAAAACATATTTAGAAAACACATTCAGCCTCACAAGCAGTTCTTAAAATATATGCATTATCTCCCAGAGATTTGTGCAAGAACATGGTCTTTTCTCTTGAAGTTTATGAAACCTTCAAACCTGTGTGGTTTCAAACAAATCTTCCTCTTGTTATTATTCTAAAAGTTGCCTAAATCTTGATTTATAAAACCAAAAGCCCATTTTCATCTTGCCACGGCATTAATTGCATCTTCCATCGTGTTTGTACCCTCTGTATAGTCTCCATGGAAGTTGCTACTGGAGCTCAGGAGGCTGCTGAATAGCTCAGCTGCAGCTTTCTTGGGTTGTGCTGCCTCATCTAGAACAATGGGAACACCAGTTTTATAAAACATTTGCATTCGGTTTGTCTGGAAAGAATCTACCTTGCTCAAAAGGATGGAGAATATGAACCTCCTGATACTGTGTTTTGTGCCAGTTGGTCTGTTTTCCAGTAAAGTACCAACTTCTTACATAGGCTGTCAATACAAAGCTGTCCTGGCTTAACGCTACTGAGTGAAATTAAGAGCAGTACCTGGTAAGTATAAGTCAACAGCATCACTTTGAGTGCTCCATCACTAAGCCATAAAAGACTTATTGCCATTATTTATAATATTGGGGTGCAACAAAATGATTAAATCATTGGTGTTTGAATCATTTTCCTACATATGCCAACACTCCAGAAAATTACATATTGCTCATGAAAATATATATAATTTACTTGCAAATGAAAATTATTCCTTTGTAACTGCTACTTTACCTTATCTTGCATAACTGCGTTATATCCAGCCCCTCCTGAGTTGATGAAACTATGCTTATTTCTTATACATTCAAAGCATAGAGTTGCATGCTGGAAGTGGTCTGGAAGTTTCATGGGCCCAAACTAATATCACAGAAGCCTAAGTAGTCGGGAGGGTGCTTTTTCCTTCCTAAAGCAGATAAATAAAGGAGAACATAATTTTTTCTTTTTTTGATTTCTTTTTCTGGGGGGAGAGTATATTAAATAATTGAATGCCAGTTATATATGGGAGTACTTTGTCTTCTGAAGTTCTGTAGTTCAGTTTTAACAGTAGCAAAAATATCTGGAGGAGAAATCATTTCACTATTATAAAAATGTTATACCCAGTTTAAATCTTCTTTTTAAATTACAAGGTAGCAAAACAGGGAGCTGTATTTTAATGTCAAAAACTGTTGTACTACTTCTGGTTCCCAGCTCCCTTCAGGATCGAATTTCATTAATGGGATATATATGTATCTATATATAGATACATAAAACTGGAGCAGGAATTACAGGATATTTCAACAGCAGTTTAGTTACACTATTTTGCCAAGTCATTTTCAGACTTTTCAGTTTCATTTGGATACTTAAAATATCTGTCTGCCCTGGTTAGTTTTTCTGTTCTAAAAGTAGACATTTGCTTAACTCATTTGATCCAAAAATAAAAGGATGAGCGATCAGAATGAAACAGATGAAAATGATCACAGACCTATAGAATCTGGAAAAATCAGTTGCGTGCTGCATGTGTTTTCTGTAGTCAGCTGTGTTGCAGGATTTTATTAGCACGCATATTTTATGCCACATATTTTAATGCCCGGATGCATTATCATGTAAAGCCCATTTCCTTTCTTTGAGAAACCAAACCAACAGGAGAAAACATTCAGGGAAGGGAGGGCTCGGAAAGTTTTGGTAATGCGGAGGGAGATTGCATATCAGTTTGGCTTTAAGCTTAGCTGTAAAGTAAGAGAAAGCAGTTCCTTGTCAGGTCATCAGAGGTGTCTCCCTTGGTAGGGGCGGGATGGTGTGAGTCACAGAACTGACTTGAGGAAAAAAAGGAGTCTAACAAGGAGGAAGAACGGCGCCAGGGGCAATGTGCTTTGGTCTTGGGTGGGAAATTTGCCTGAGATACACTACCGTGAGACCGAATCCCGAAATGTGTTCTGGAAAGTCCATGCGACGTCAAGGAGAAACCAGGTTAAGAAAAAGAAATTCAATATTGTCAATAGAAAGCAGAGGCTCCCTGAACTTGCAGCTTTTGAACTGAGGGCTTCTCTCTAAAAGCAATTTAAACAGCAGTTTTGGTGCAAGCTGGGTGTGTTCTGGGCAGCTGCCTTTTTGCTCTGGGCCTGCTTTCTCCCGAGGCTGTGAGAATCAAGGAAGCGTGGGGTTTGTTTGGCCTTTCTTTACATAGGTGCATGAGGAAAGTTTTCTCCTCTTCCCTATGCAGCCATCCAGGAGGATCAGACAGCTCACTCCCTTTTTTAATATCAATCATGTATGTCTGTCTCTGTGTGAAAAGTGTTGTGGAGAGAGCAGAAGTTGTGGATGGAGAAAATGAGCATGGTTTGGGGCAGGGGAGCTGCTGTGGCTAGAGTGGAGGTGTTTTGGTCCTATGGAGTCCGGGGATGGGAGCTGCTAAATTAAATTTTAGCAGCCATGAAGTTAGCATGGATGTCTGTCTCCTTCAGCAGCTGCAGGGTCTGGAGGAAGCATGTTAGATCCTAATTAAAACCCTAGATAAGGACATCAAAATTACCCCTACCATGGAAAGCTTACGTTTTGGCCAGCACTCATCAGAATGCCTGTGTAATGTCTGAGTAGTATGTGCTATTCTGATGAATCGTGACAAACATACAGCATGTACCAAGTCAAAATGAAAAATGGGAGCTGTGTGTTATACTCCTGCTCAGTTGTAGCCACTGTATTTTTGCATGGAAGTGTGTGTAAAGTGATGCCTTTTTTAGCGAAAATTATACCCTTCAAAATGGAAGAATTAAAAAA